ATGGCAAACGAGTGGAGTAATGATACAGATTATTTCAATGCGATACAACGAGTTGCTTTCTTGATGGTTGTCAACGATATGGCTGAATGAGGGGTGAAGCTAATTTCTGACTTATCAAGAAATCCACCCGAGACCTAATTGAACAGAAATATTTGCTTCAAGGGATAGAACAGTACCCTGAGAAATCGTAGAATATATTAAAATGAAATATAATCATTACAATCCAATGACGTTTGTGTGAATATATCTGACATTGTATATTGCACCAAAAGAGAATGGAAGTACTCGCTTTACAACTGCTCTTCTGAGATTAAGCAAATGTTTTTGAATAACCCATCCGAACTACACAAGAGATTGGAAACTCCGAAGTTTTCTTAGTCTTTATCTTTGCTTTCATTGATATAAGTGAGGGCCGGAAAGCATACAGTAAGCCCTCCCATATCTAACTACGCCTATTAAATGGAGCACATGTTTTTGAATACATCTGAACATACCAACTTGACAAGACCAGAAACATCGAAGTCATTGCAATTTGAAGCCATACCTCCATTTATATGGGTGCCGGGGGCGGGGTATAGTTAGCCCCCCTCATCTCTTAATATGCCTATGGAATTTTTTGAATAATTCATCTAAGCATACCAAATCGATAAGATAAGAAACTCCGAAGTTATTTCACTTTGAAACTTTACCCCCCCCATCCCCCCTCCGACTACGCATATGAGAAAGATCTATTATTTTTGAATATTTCATCCGAACATACCAAAACGTTAAAATAATTAACTACGAATTTGGAGTCAGACTTTCATTGGTACACCGACAGTGTTGGCAGAAAAAGGGATTTTTGGCATTTAATTCAAAACATTGATCTTTGAACAGCTATAATTTCTAGGACAATACATTTTTTAGCAAAGTTGTTAGGCACTTCCTGGGCTATACTTTAACGTATTTAGATGCGTGGTCCCTAGTAATAAAGATGGAACAAAGTAGGTTTTCCCATACTAATTTCCATACAAATTTCAAATGCAATGCGGAAAGCCGGGTTACAACCAATCGTCCCCAAATTTCGCACAGTTGTTTGGGACCCAAAATGGAACCAAAAAAACATTGTTCTGAAAAAATGATCATGATGACCCATCCTAGTGTATATACAATGGTTGCTATGATGAGTTTTCACCGTTTGCTCTCGAGTTTTCAAAATGACGCCAAGTCGGCAAAATTGCTGGATGTGGCCAAATTGATCGTGACAAACGTTTTAAAAGTGTTCGGGGAGTGTCTGTCGATCGCCAAAAAGCCTGGAAGTGGCGGCAATCGTAATCCGGACGTGGCAGCGACGACGAAGAAGTTGGCCGTGAAATAAAGGGTGATACGGTCAAAATTTGGTCAAGGGAAAACGCGTGTAAATCGGTGAAATCGTTTATTTAAAAAATCAAATTAAATTTCTTTTTCAAGTTCAATTAGTATAAAATTCAGGAAAAATATTCAGTTAGGCTTCCGCTTTTCCAAATCCGAATTGCCGGGCCTTACGCTTGACCCCTGCCATCAGATTTTGTACAGCCACCTTGTCCACCTTCTTCGCCGCAGAAAGCCAGTTTGCCTTGAACTGCTGCTCGCCCTTAGCAGTTTTTTTGGTCTTCTTTAGGTTCCGCTTGACAATAGCCCAGTATTTCTCAATTGGGCGGAGCTCTGGCGTGTTGGGAGGGTTCTTGTCCTTGGGAACCACCTGCACGTTGTTGGCGGCGTACCACTCCATGGCCTTTTTACCGTAATGGCAAGATGCCAAATCCGGCCAAAACAGTACGGAACAACCGTGTTTCTTCAGGAAAGGCAGCAGACGTTTATTCAAACACTCTTTCACGTTTATTTCTTGGTTGACAGTCCCGGAAGCTATGAAAATGCTGCTTTTCAAGCCACAGGTACAGATGGCTTGCCAAACCAGATATTTCTTTGCGAACTTTGACAGTTTCATGTGCTTGAAAACATCTGCTACCTTTCCCCTTCCTTTTGCCGTATAAAACTCCTGTCCCGGAAGCTGCTTGTAGTCGGCTTTGACGTAGGTTTCGTCGTCCATTACCACGCAGTCAAACTTCGTCAGAATTGTCGTGTACAGCCTCCGGGATCGCGCTTTGGCCGTCGTATTTTGTTTATCATCGCGATTTGGAGTCACTACCTTCTTGTAAGTCGATAGTCCGGCTCGTTTTTTGGCTCGATGCACGGTTGTAGACGATACACCCAGCTTATTTGCGGCATCTCGGAGAGAGAGGTTAGGGTTTCGCTTGAAACTACCGGCAACTCTCTTTGTCGTCTCAGCGGCTTCCGGTTTTCGATTTCCCCCCGATCCAGACTTCCTGGCTGTCGACAAACGTTCCCCAAACACTTTAATTACATTTGTAACGGTTGATTTGGCAACTTTTAGTGATTTTGCCAACTTTGCGTGCGAGTGAGTAGCTCGGATTTTCGCGATGCGCGAGCAAAATTTTGATACGCTGCTTTTCTTGCTTGGACGGCATTTTGACAACTGAAGAGTGAATTCCAAAATCAAAATAGGAGCAACATTCTACACACACACACCTTCAAAATGAGGGGTGTTCAGGTTTTTTAAATGCAAAATTGAAAGAAATACGTCAAGTTGATATTGACCAAATTTTGACCGTATAACCCTTTATAAGCAGAATCCTAACCTCTCCACCCGGGACGTCGCTGGCAAGCTCAGATGTCTCCCATACTATTTACTGTGCAGCGGGCCAAGAAACGAGCCGCGTTGTCGACGTTTAAGAAGGTGAAGGTGGCGAACCGAGATTACAAACAAAACACGTCGGCAAAGCAGCGGTCCCGAAAGCTGTATATGAATCTGCTCACAAAAGTCGACTGTGTCGTCATGGACGACGAAACTTATGTGAAGGCGGAATCCAAGCAGCTTCCAGGACAGGAGTTTTATACCGCACAGGAAAAGGGAAGTTCCCACAAAAATATCTCGTCTGGCAGGCCATATGCACGTGTGGTCTAAAAAGCGGCATTTTCATTACTACGGGAACCATCAATCAAGAGATCTTGGTCCAGGAGTGCCTGGAAAAGCGGCTGCTATACCATTCCTAAAGCAACATAGCAGACCTGTGCTGTTCTGGCCGGACTTGGCGAGCTGCCACTATGGGAAAAAGGCAATCGAGTGGTACGATGCGAACAACGTGGTTGTGGTACCCAAAGAGCACAGCCCTCCCAACAGCCCAGAACTTCGCCCTATCGAACGGTATTGGGCCTTGGTCAAACGGAATCTCAAAAAAACTAATAAATCCATGGAAAACGAGCAGCAGTTTAAATCTAACTGGCGTTCGGCGGCGAATCAGGTCGATGAGACCACTGTGCAACATTTAATGGAAGGGGTTGAGCGGAAGACACGGCAGTTCGGATTTGGCAAACCAAATGAACATTTTTTGAACTACCAAAAGAAAAATAAGAAGATTTTTGTGATATGAATTTTGACTGATAGAAACGATTTTTTTGTCGACCAATTTTTGCGCCTTCCAATCTTTATATTCTTTCATCGGAACATATATCAGGATATCTTTGCTAATTTCTCAAGAATTTCCTTAAAATCATTCCAAAATTACTTCAAAAATTTCTTCTACTTAAGGATTCCTCTCAATGATTTTATGATTCTGTCCGTTTTTCACTAGAAAGTTTATCCATAACAGTCTCGGAATTATGTGAGGAACATTTTAGGAATTCCCTCCAGAAAACTATTGACATTCACTCTACATTTATCTTTGCACTCTTAATAAATCTCGCAAGAATTTTCTTTATTTTCAATCCGCAAGCTTCTTTAGAATTCGCTTAGATTATTCCTCGGAAATCTTTTGGTATGTCGTTTAGAATTTATAAAAATTGTTCTCCCATATTTTCCATGGATTACCTCAGAATTTCATGAGAATTTCCTTGAAATTCTTCCAAAAATGCCCTTCTGAGAATCTCTTGGAATTTGCATGAAATTCTCTTGAAACTCTCCTTAGAATTTCCTTAAAAATTACTTCAGAATGCCGTGAAATACTATTGAGAAATGATGAAGTATTCGATTTTTTTACAGTTGCCATTCTTGCATTTATCGCAAGGATCCGACTCTAATTGAAAGGTCCCGCTATTTATACCCTTCGAAATGTTTAAACACCCTCTAAAGCAACAAAATTAAGGAATGACACTGATAATGACCATGCATCAGAACCCTAGTCTTAACCACTTCAAACTAGGGAACAACGAATGGAAGATTAGGAATCACATAGATGAAGACAAACTAACTCATTTTTTCATTGTTTCAAGATCATCCTCGGTGGGCAAAGCCGAGTCTTGTCACTATCAACAAGGACTAAGATGTGTTCCTTTGATTACTGAAAAATCCTGTTCCACAAGTTTGAAGTAGTCAGGGTTAGGAATCGGTGGTAGATCTTACATCCCGTTATGTACCACGAAAAGGTAATCTAACCACGTTACGTTCGTTGTTCGTTATCATCAGTGATCTTATGAGTCAGCTATGATGGTTAATTGATTAACCTTACGCTTCAACGACAGAGCCATTGTGCGTTAACAACAAGATGCCTTCTGGGACAGCTCTAGAAAACTTCTGGCTGTTTTGCTGTGATGAGATGCGCGTGCGTTGTGAAGACGGAAAGAAAATTTATGAAGATTCATACAAAAGGAATTGATTGTTTGGTTTAATACATTAGTGAAAACATCTTAGTACATTCAATCAGATAATATTAACTGTATAGAAATTCATTGAAAAGTCTTCCAGCGACATTACAGTACTTAGTATAAAAAATATTCTGTAATAAATCACCGTACCGGGGTGATTTATTGCAGAATCTGTTTTTAATTTAAAGAAAGTTGTAAGAGATTCTTTCATTCTCCGGTTGGGTGATACACTCTAGTTACAAAATGTCTGGAATCTGAAATCGTAAATTCTGATGCCACCAACTCTCTAACCAAATTTTCGAAAATTTCCTTTTCCACAGTTCTCGGTGTTCCTGGGTCTGGTCTTCTTGGCCGAGATCGGTATCGGCGTTGCCGGGTACTACAAGCACGAAGAACTGAGCGGCATCCTGGAGAAGGGATTCAACGAAACGCTGGACAACTACTCGAACAATTTGGCTGCCCAGGAAGCATGGAATCTGGTCCAATCGGAGATGAAGTGCTGCGGTGTGAATGGGCCGGAGGATTGGCAGCCGATTTTCAAGAATGACACCGTCCCTAGATCGTGCTGCCACGAGCTGCCAATTGGAGTGAGCAAGTGCACCCGAAAGCACGCCGACCCCGAGGGCTGCTTCCCGAAGCTGTCCGCTTTCCTCGGTTCCAAGTCGCTGATCCTGGCCGGAATCGGTATCGGATTGGCTGCCGTTCAGGTAGGGATATTTTACATTGGGAACCATTCATCAGATAATAATATTCCTTTTCAAATTCTAGTTGGTAGCCGTCCTGCTGGCTTGCTGCCTGTATGGATCTTTCCGACGACAGTACGAAACTGTCTAAACTGTTTCTGAAGAAAGCGAGAGAGAACATCACCGTTATCAAACAAGAAGAAAAAGTGTACCCAACATCGATTATCGAGAAGAAAAACCTCCGAAATGTAATCCCATCGTAAAGCTCCTCGTAAATTCAACGTAGAAGCTTTTCAGAACGGATGGAAGCAACAAAAGAAAACGAACTAGAAGAAGAAATACTATTAGAATGTGATAACCATCGTATAAGCATTCGAAATTTGTTTTAGTAGTAACCCAACAAACGGACGACAACAGGGAAAAGTCGATCCCTGCGTAACAATGGAATTCCATTAAATCATTCCTGATCCCTAGCAAAATAGTTTTGGGGAGGTTGAAATTCATTAATACACCATCACATTCCGGCTCATTCTTTCGGTGTAATTGATATGTTTGAGACTAGGGGAAGAGAACTAGAAGCCATAGAAAGTCACCCGATTTCCCATTATTATTCGGAGCCAGAAACGGAAGCGAAATTCTGGGTGGCTGCGAAGGTGATCTGAGACCAACAAACTTACATTCAAGTTGTTACTTCGCCATTGTATTAGAATGAATCTTATATTATATGACATTGGAAAAGAAAGTTAAAAGTGAGCACCTTTGTCAGCACATTTGAGGAAAAGATAGCCGGAGAGAAAGATAGAGCTAGTGAGTCACTCATTCACACAATAATATTTGTAGTTTGTAGGTAAAATATGCGTCAAAACGACCGAGAGAAAACGTTGAAATGTAAGTGGATTAGATACAAAACAAATCAAAAACGGTAAGAGGAGTTTTTCTCATGAAAAAGTAAAATCTTTAAAGATTACCCATTTACAGATCCATTGTCAAAAGGAAATTAAAACAAAAACTAGAATACAGCAAATTAGCAGTAGCAGAGAACTGTGCATTTTTAGACGTAAGCAAAGTGAATCCCAGCATATATCCTGTGTTGATATCGCGCACCTCTACATATTGTAGTGAAGCAAGCTTTTTAGATTCGTACACAAGTGTTCTCTCACAGCTTTTTGAAAACTATTTCGTTCCGTAAATGAATCTCAGTTTATAAAAATTTAAAACAACGTTTAGGTTAATTTTAAAAACATTCAAAAATTCATTTCCATGTAAAATTTTAGTCCATCCAATGAAAAAACAAAACGTGAACATGCTTCAGCAGAAAGGAACAATTATAAAATCTATTTAATTATATAAAAGTACAAGACAAGTAAACTTCATCTCGTGACCAATTTCCACATTAAAAAATTCGAAAATTATATAAAAATATATATAGTTACGAAAAATATTGTAACAGGGAAGTATTTTTCGGAACTTATCGAAAAGTGGTTATCACATTGTTTAGCAGATCTGTAATGCAAACATATCCAGACATGTGTTTTTTACTTGGAAAACCAAACAGCAAATTGATGATCATTCCATGGGCATTTCCGTTGCTAATGATAATGTGTCAGACTTTTCGACAATTTTCCGAAAGATTTTCCCACCTTCAACCCCAGAATAAATACCTCCCAGCTTGTCGGTGTCACACACCCATACAATAGAATAACAAACGAACTGACGGAACCAATTAACCAATCCAGAGTAAAACCATACAACACTCTCCGAACCTCTGAAACCATAAAACACTAGCGAAACCCCAAAAACCGCAACACTATTTGCACTTTATAGCGCAGCACTGTGTATGCATCATCGTGTTCGCTTCTGTATCCATGGTATCCACTCCCTCCCACCAAAATGAAAGCTGCTCAAATCGTAGATGAAACATTAATTTAATCTCAGAGAAGTGAATATTGCATCTTAATAAATAGTTGTGTCAAAATCAAAAAGAGCCAAACCACACTGTCAAATACAGGACGATAGGAATTTTCATCTTTTACTCGTTTCACTTCTTTTTCGGAGATGTGTAATCAAATCAATAAAAATAAAATATATACCTACCAACCTAGAATGATCAAAAACTCTTAGAAACAGGAGTGAAGTAATTTGTATTGTATCGATACAGATGTGCACCACAGAAAACAAAAATACACACATTTTTTTGGTTTTTTTCTTCTCTTCATACGATAAACGATTTTACACATACACAACACATACAAGCAGTAAGTACTATACATACAGACACACACACAAACACACACACGATAAGGATTGAACAAATAATGGCACGGAAGATAGTGAGACGGAGTACATCCATCAGGAACCAGGCAAGATTCGTGTTGATATTTTTATAAATGTATTTTATCGTTTAAGTCTGGAATAAAGATTTGCTTAAATCAGTGGTTTAAAGTTTTTCCTTACAATTCTGAAAAGCATCCGAAATAATATCTTGATGGTAAAGGATATCTTTATAGTGATACATTTCATTTAAACATGTTTTTATTATTTTAGTCACAATTATAGTGTTAACTCTTGGGTCATTCGTGACTTGTCTGGAGTGAGATTTGAACTCGTTACTTTAGCGTGAGAAGTATAAACGTTAACCACTTCGCCGGCGCCGTTATTTTCGGAGTCTTTAATTTTTTTTGGATTGGGTAAAGATTTTTTGCTCGATGGGCGCTTTTGGATGGGACAACATAGTTTTGGTATTTTTGTAACATTTTCAGAACAAAGTAGGAAACTTTTCGTGTACATTGTAAAATGATGGTACTTGACAATCGATTTCAATGTTTAATTCATTTTCGCCAAAAATGCTAATGGGACTGTTATGCCACACAGGGCAGTACAAATAATGTTCACTAATAATGTTGGTAAAATCGACCGCATATTCACGTAAACGGATTTAGTGTATAAAACAGCAAAAAAATAAATTTATGGTTATTAGACTGATGCAAAATTTGAAACATTCGCTCCACAGTGCTCAAAAGGTTCCAAATTGGGCCTTGATAAGCCTCCCAAAATTTAAACTCATTTAGTGAGAAACTGACTTGGCACAAACCATTTGAAGTTTATATGGGAATTACTATGGAGAAACCATAATCACAGACAAACAGACATAACATATTGAATGTTTATCACTGTAAAACATCGTCACTAAAACATTACCGCCATCTGTTGAATACACTTTGGTGGGTAGTATGCTGAACAGATGGCGGTAGTGTGTAAACGTCAAACGCAAGGGAATTGACTATGCGCACCACAGGCGGTGGTACTACCAACAATCAATACGAAACTAACGATTTTAAAATTGGCTCACCACTTTAGTAGCCTATTGGTCCCAAGCAAACGATTAACGTACCCTATTCTAGTTGAAATTCTATTACTACACTATGTTTGTTTTGATTCGCTATGAAAGTTTGACAGATAACATCAGGGGTGTGTGGATTCATGCAGAACATGCAGGGGTGAGTAAAATAGCTTGGGACTGCTTGGGACCGTTGTTCTGGTACTGAGTGAGCCAAAAATAATAATGATTTTCTTCGGGACCCAGTGGTCTTAGAGTTACCTCTATGGTACTACCAACTACGATACTTTTCAATTGACCGTTAAATCACAGACAAACAGACATAACACTGGCAATTTGTTCATCGAACACGCATTTAACAGTCAATTTAAATATTTTTAGTTGGTAATACCGCCACCTGTGGCGCGCATAGTCAATAACCCTTGCGTTTGACGTATACACACTACCGCCATCTGTTCAGCGTACTACCCATCACAGTATACTCAACAGATGGCGGTAGTGTTTTAGCAACGATGTTTTAAATTGAAAAGTATTCAATGTGTTATGTCTGTTTGTCTGTGGTTAAATGCTTGTTCGATGAACAACTTCCGAGTTTATGTCTGTTTGTCCGTGCCATAATTTCGGTTCATATCTATCTCAAAATTCACCAGTTCACTATACTTTAGAAAATGATAGCTGAGCTTTTGATTTTCCCAGCTACAACTTTGTTAAAGACCACTTTTCGATTAAATGTAAGGAACAAAAATTATTAATGATTCAAGTCACTGACGTCTTATGATTATGCTCAATCAACTGTTCAGCAGGCAACATTGGTGTTTATGGCGCGTAGAATAGAGGACAAAAATCATGGCTTCTATACATGTCATGACACATTGCAGAATACAGTGTTGCCCACAATACAGTTGCTTAATCTTGCCATAAGATTATCAATCTCTTATACCAACAATCAATACGAAACTAACGATTTTAAATTGGCTCACTACTCAACTAACATTGAATGTTGAATAAGAGCTTATGCAGGCAAAAACAAGCTTCTTCAGCTAAAAAATAGCTTATTCAGCTGTTGATCAACTCAAATTGTTTGTTGGGTACTTGACTAGCCTATTGGTCCCAAGCAAATCGATTAACGTACCCCATTCTAGTCAAAATTCTAGTACTACACAATGTTAGTTTTGATTCGCTATGAAATTTTGACAGATAAAATGAGGGGTTATTGGATTTTCCTATGTTTCGAGGTGTGAATCGACTAGCTTGGGACCGAAGATAATACCAGAGCTGAGCCAAAAAGTTGAGCTCGTTTCTTCGGGACCTTCTGGTCTTAGAGTTACCTCTATGCTCATACCCCGTACAGACTATGCCTTATATCATGTAATATAGGCTGTCTTGCAATGAGCACTCATACATAGGAATTGCAGTGAAAACTAGATGTATGAGTGTTCATTGCAAGACAGCCTAGTCAAGTAGTGAGCCAATTTAAAATCGTTAGTTGCCACCGGTTGATATTAGCAACCGGTGGAAACTGACAATTTTAAATTGGCTAACTACTTGACTAGCCTACTGGTCCCAAGCAAATCGATAAACGTATTCCATTCTAGTCAAAATTCTGGTACTACACTTTGTTTGTTTTGATCCGCTATGAAAGTTTGACAGATAAAATGAGGGGTTAGTGGATTTTCCTATGTTTCAAGGGGTGAATCGATTACACAGAAAAAAAAGTTGTTGAATATTACATCCAAACTGCTGTAACCAGGTCAATCCATCGGTTGTGTAATATAACGTTGTACGATGTGCACCGATTTTGCGAACAAAATTACATTCATTGATGTAAAATTGTATCTGCTTTTTGTTATAACATCATTATTTCATACATCAGGTTGAATTACATTGATCGATATTACATTTTTTTTTGCTGTGTAGCTTGGGACCGAAGATAGTACCAGAGCTGAGTCAAAAAGTTGAGCACGTTTCTTCGGGACCTACTAGTCTTAGAGTTACCTTTATGATTATACCATAGAGGTAACTCTAAGACCACTGGGTCCCGAAGAAAATCATTATTATTTTTGGCTCACTCAGTACCAGAACAACGGTCCCAAGCAGTCCCAAGCTATTTCACTCACCCCTGCATGTTCTGCATGAATCCACACACCCCTGATGTTATCTGTCAAACTTTCATAGCGAATCAAAACAAACATAGTATAGTAATAGAATTTCAACTAGAATAGGGTACGTTAATCGTTTGCTTGGGACCAATAGGCTACTAAAGTGGTGAGCCAATTTAAACTCGTTAGTTTCGTATTGATTGTTGATTATACTGCCATAAAGGTACACACTTAATCTAGCTCGGTAAAATAACCAACAGCCGATTACCTCGGCATTTACTTTTGCTGATATCTCTGCAAAATATCTTTTTGCTAGCTGATATTTCAGCAAATAGTTATTTGTTAGCTGAGTCTCGGCAATTGTTTTTACTGAATCTCAGAAAATAAGTTGCAGAACTACTCAGCTGTTGGAAGCTCGGCGAAAAAATTTAAGTGTGCTCACTTAAAAATTTTCGCCGAGATTCCAACAGCCGAGTATTTCTGCAATTTATTGTGCTGAGATTCAGTGGAACAATTGCCGAGACTCAGCTAACAAATAACATTTTGCTGAGACATCAGCAAAAGTAAATGCCGAGGTAATCACACCGACAAACCGACATGAATGATCATACAAAGTATCATCAAATTTCTGATCAAAGCACACAACTGACATCTGCCGTCGTGTTCGCGAAAAATGTGTATCCTAGCCACGAACACACATACTAAATGTATGAGTTGGTTCGTGTCTAATCTATTCCGGGCAAATTATTTTTATCTAGATAACAAATTACTATGGTTTTGACAGATGGGATCGCTGCATATTTGAATCCGCCGTTATGGATTCTCGATCAAGAGTTAAGTTTTAGTTTCGTGTCGGTTTGTCGGTGGTAATCAGCTGTTGGAGATTTTACCCAGAGTCGATGTTATAATAAGAGTCCGCCAAGAGAAAATGTTGCGAACAAGCAGCACTGTTTGTGATTTATTTTTCGTCAGAGGAAATGGCAACCAGATTTTTTTTGCGTTAGCATCGGATGAATTTTCTTTAGAAGTGAAATGTTTCATGTCGATAACGGAGCCTCTGGGAGACAAACACAATTATAGAACCTGAAAAATGTTCAATCAAGTGCTTGGTATAACTTATAAATACCGCAATGTACTAAATAAAGCGAAGAAACGTTTTTCGTCTAAAATTACTAAAATATTGTCAGTAATGAATGCAATACTTGTAGTTCACTGGCTGTGGGAACAATAATATTTATTTACTTTGCTCGTTTGGTACCCCGCTTGACAGTTCGATTGGTACTTCTGGTCTGGCTTAACTCTTGGCGGGACTCTTATTATAACATTGACTCTGATTTTACCGAGCTAGATTAAGTGTGTGAATGTAAAAACATTTAGATATATCACCGACAAACCGACATGAATGACCATGAAAATAACAATTAAATTTCTGATCAAAACACAAAACTGGCATCTGCCGCCGAGTTCGCGGAAAATGTTTATCCTAGCCACGAACACGCGTACAAATTTGATGAGTTGGTTCGTATCTAATTTATTCCGGACAAATTATTTTTAAATATCTACATAACTGATTTCTATGGTTTTGACAGATAGGATCGCTGCACATTTGAATCGGCTGTTATGGATTCTTGATCAAGAGTTAAGTTTAAGTTTCATGTCGGTTTGTCGGTGTATATATCACCGACAAACCGACATGAATGACCATAGCAAAAACAATAAAAATTCTGACCAAAGCGCACTAATGACATCTGGCTCCGGGTTCGCGGGAAATATTTAGCTAAGCCATGAGCACCCGCATGCAAAAGTTATGAATTGGTTCGTGTCTGATCTATTCTGGATAAATTATTTGTATCTAGATAAAAAAATCCTGTGGTTTTGACAGTTCGGATCACTGCACATATAAATAGACCGTTTACAATTTTCGGGAATAAGTCAGTGGGATCACACCATTAAAATTTGACCATAATATGGGAAATTGCTCTAATGTTGGCCTATG